AGGGTGGAGGCCATTGCTAGTAGGGTGGAGGCCATTGCTAGTAGGGTAGAGGCCATTGCCTGTAGGGTGGAGGCCATTGCCAGTAGGGGCCATTACTAGTAGGGCGGAGGCCATTGCTTCTAGGTTCACTAAATTGTATATCAAAGTGCTTGCTCAGCTGGATTTGACGAGCCCATTTCGCCTCACCAAGCGTCAAGGCTCGTGCCCACGGCACACCTGATCGCGTTTTCGATGGGAAAAACGAATCCTCAAGAGCGACACCAACCTCAAGAGCGACCGAAGCAGGAATTTCTTCACCCCTGCGACGCACGCGTCCTTTTTTGTTCGGTCTCTGACGCGTTCAGAACCCCACGCAGCATCAGGACCCAGTGCATCAAAGATCCCTATCCTACAACGTCCAACATGATGCCAAACCTCTGGATGTTGGGAGTTCATGATTTGAATCTGTGCTGACCAAATATCACCACAGGGAGAAAAAAACATCTTTTGTATTATATTGCATATGTGTTACATATATGTATTATATACATGATCTCTCCAAAGGGATCTTTGATCAGGTTGCACCCAAGTTCCAGAACTGCCGCGCAGGTTTGAATCGGTCGACGTGGTCCGACACTTCCTGCTCCGACCGGCGCGCGGCAAAGTCATAGCGGCGCTTGATCTCGACAAAGATCTCATTCATTTGCTCGTCCGACAGGTTGGCCGAGGCCAACTTCTTGTCTGGATGGTACATTCGCATCTGATTCTTCCAAGCACTTCTCCTTGAATCAGGGTGTCTGGCCGTCTCTGTATTTGAAAAAGATCTGACATGGTCTGACAGCTGGTGTTTGAAAGATCAAGCCTGCATGGGTTGAGCGACCGTACCCCAAATCAACCAAACAAACATCTCCACACCGAAAAGACCTCTCTCAACAGGTCTCGATCAATTGGAAAAACCATGAAAAGCCCTTCTCAACTCGCAGCTGAAACAGTCATCGTTTCAAACCAATTCAGGGCGTCATCGTTTCTCTCCGCTCTCCTCTGATCCTTTGGGAGTCGTTCGATCTCACGGCTGATCTGGCTCACCTGTTCGCTGGCCACCCGAGACAAGCGCACGGAGGGAGGGGGCAACGGTGAAGTCGAACCCTTCCGTGGCGAAGGCACGGAGCTCCGCGTCGAAGCCGTCCGGCCCGCTCGGCCGGACGAGAAGCGGCTGCGTTGGCTGTGGAGAAAGCTGGGACGGAAGAGTTGGCACTTTTCGGTGTGGAAGGGTTTTCCACAGGTGCATTTCAGGTGTTTCACCTTTGGAGCTTTGGAAGTCTTGGCTTTGGCATCTTTGCGTGCCTTTTTGGACTCTGAAGCCTTAGTCTTGGTCGACTTGGTCTCCTTCTGAGGCTTAGGGTTCACCCTTTTGCGCTTGAGATGCGACCTCTTTTGTGGATCCTCCTCAGCGGTGGTCTCTGCATCCGAAAGCACCTCCGGTCGCTTGCTGCCGGCAGGTTGGGTGAAATCAGCACGTCCTTCAACCTTGGACCGTTTCGGACCACATCGCTCCCTTCCGGATGCGGCACCGAGATCATCGGTCCGGGTCGGTCTGCTGGTCTTCTTTTGACTTTTCTCAAACTCTTTGAGCTTCTTTTCTGGGATTGGACCATCCACCCGACCATGCACCGTCCATTTCTCCTGGTGGCGTTTGCAGAAGTCGCCGCCCAGCTTCTGGAGAGAGCATTGGCCGCCCTGGCCACCGTTCCAAATGCGTGCCATGCACAACCCAAGATCAATCTTCTGAGGGGTAAAAGCCATGCTGGGCGCGGCCGAGTCGGGTCTTTGTGGAGTACAGGGTGGTGAATCTGATGTTGGAACAGAAGAACTGGTCCCAAGTGCCCTGTTCTGCTCAATGCCAGCGGAGGAGGCTGCAGGATCTTCTTCATCTGCTTCCTCTCCTGTTTCTTTCACTTCTTCATCCTGCTCTGTGTCCTCTACATCAGTATCCGCAACCTCATCCTCTCCTCTCTCAGCGGTCTCTTCCACCTCTTCTGCAGTCTTCGGTTTCTCCTCCACCGCAGTTTTCTCCAGCTCCTCTGCCACCTCCGCCGGTTCATCATCTTTCATGGCCTCAGCCTCCACTTCCTCATTGCCTTCCGCATGTTCAGGCAGGCCGATAGATCCTCCTAGCCTTGCTCCTTCCTGCTCTGCATCTTCCTCTCCCTCTTTCGCTTTGAAGACTCTCCCCATTGGTTGAGCAGTCTCATTCTCTTCACAGCCTGGCAGCAAACCATGTTTCGTGGATCACGGGTGCTTTTGGGATTGGAAGACCTAGCGAGACAAAAAGAACAAAAACATCCCTCAATGGCTCAAAACTGAACAGGAACAGGTTCTAGACGAGGTTTCCTTTCATCTGGCCTTGGATGGCACCTCCTTTTGAGACATTGCCCCCAATAACCTGCACTAGTCACCACAACTGCCATAGTACGTAGAGAGACCTAAGACCAGCTTGTTTTTGTTGCTGCACCCCACCTGTTTGTATGGGTGTACTGGGTGTGTCGTGTACTCCTCAAGATCCAAATGTCATGCCGCGCCTGGCTCTGAGACCTCTGCGGATGGAGCGGCCTCCAATGGAGCAATGTCCATGCCTTGAAACAGCTGGAAAGGCGCTGTCAGCTACCGGCCACAGGGTTTCAACGGCTTCAACCCTGTTTGTGGCCCATAACCACAAGGCTTAGAACAACCAAGTTTGATGGGTTGGTTGGGTTGGGATTTTTCTGTTCTCGAGCAGAGCAGCCAGTACTTGCCGGTGGCAGATTTCCGCAACCAGAGGATGGGGAGAAAAAAATGCGCCACGAAAGTAGCACCAACAAAGCATCACAAAAGTCCACCACGAATTATTGGTCTTGATTTGTCTTGCTTCAAAAGTAGCTTCTCTCTAACAGTCAGCCTCATCCTGCAGATTCCTCTTCATGTCCGAAGTTGAAGATGAACAAAATGAACCAAATGCCCTGCATTCTGGTAGACTACAAACTTTGGACACCTGCTGGCGCCAAAGCCGAACCCCCTGGCTGGCGGCGCCTCCATCCGTGCAATCCATCCCGCTCATCTCCTCCATGGCGCGACGGGTGGAAGCCAGCCAGGTGATCCGGGATCCTGTGAGTCTTGCACGATGTCTTGCGCGATGTCTCCTTCAAAGCGTGAGCATGCGGCCCATCTCTGATGGACTTTCATTTTTTTTTGAGTCGGGAGTGATGTTGTGGGTGATGTTGAAGTCTCATGGGGCTTCCGGGCTTCCTTGTGACGCAGGCACCCTGCTCTGCGACTTACTTCCTTTGGCCCCACACTGCGGCAAACAACCCGTTTTAACATACCTTGTCTCAGCTTCTTGGCCTCATCAACCAGTCTTGATGCAAAGATATGCAAAGAATCTCAACGACCTCACTGACCAATCATCTTGTTTTGGGGCTCCATATGACCAAATAGGTCGCCTGAGGCTCCGACTCTCAATTGCATCTCTCAGTCCTATTTGGGACTGCGGACAGTACTAGACTACTAGTGGCAGTGACTTGACGGGGTGTCATCACGGTCCGTCTTCTCGATCTCTCGCAGTGGCACTTTTGAGCTCGATCCAGTCCGTCTGCCGGAGGATTCTCGGGAGTCAGTAAGGAGCGGCGCGTTTGATCTCTCAGAAGACCCAGCACAACCCATGAATACATATGAAAACCCATCTATGCACAGACAGCAGTCAATCTGACAATCTAACCATCCGCAAATACTTGCATGTGCATATATATATATATTGTCTTAAATGGTCTTAAATGTTGATAAAGAAAATGCAACCTCAAAGTTGTTGAATCGCTCAATCTTCTTCTTCTCGAATAGTTCGACACCGATGTTGGTGGAGGGAACCCTCCCATCCGCAGTCTGGGAGACACACAGGGCCCCGCTGGAATCAGGAAGGACATCCACACCAACTTAAAAGAAGGCGTTTTCATGACAGAAACAAAACCTTTGTTCCATCCACATGTCTTGAAGCCCAAAACCTCTGTTCCATCCACATGTCTTGAAGCCCAAAACCTCTGTTCCATCCGCATGTTTGCGGCCCTAAAGCATATGCCTCCACCCAGCCTCCACCCCTTTCCATCGGCTCCTTCAAAGCACCGCAGGATCGGCAAGGCCGCCAAGAGCTCGACGCAACAACACTTGGGCCTCGCTCCAGCCGTTTTTCTCCCGAGGCCGTTTCCCTGGAAAAGTAGATTAGTATTTGGATGCTAAGTGTTTACTGTACCACGGTGGACCTTGAAGTCTTTAAGTACTAATATGGTGACCGCTGTTCATCCTTTTTCCACCATCCATGCGATCTGAAGAAGAGATCACCCCGAACATCGTGGATCAAGCGCCAAAAAATGCAAAGTTAGTTTTTTGACACGCCAAAAAGGATTTGAGTTGGAATAAAGAAATCCCAACCTCAAGGTTGTGCAGGGCAGGAGGGTACCTACTACCCTGGATAGATACCAATTCCAGCCCTCACAAGTTCTCGCAACATTTACATCCATCTTGTGAATTCGCGTCCTTTTCTAAGCCTGAGCGGTTTTTCACTTCCAAAGCCTGAACACTATTCGCACTATTGAATATTGATTTGAGATTATTTGAGTATTTGTGAAATAGACCATGTTCATGGATTGCGGCAAAACACGTCCTGCACAACCATTCTCATGCTTGCATCCTTGCAAAAAGAGAACAACAGATGGACAACAAAAGCTGGTTTCGCCCGGTAGGACTCAGGTAGGACTCGCCCAGGCCGGTGAGGTGGCAGAGGTGCCACGGATGTTCGCCGGGACCCAGCAGGTTTACGCTGGAGGTCATGCTGGCCGTTTCGCTGAGTGACCGGGGGGGGCGGTGGTGGGCCGTTTGGTTGGAAGCAAGAAGGTATTCGTTGTCACACTGGAAAAACGAGAGGTGGGTGGGAACGAGAGGTGGGTGGGTCCAGCAGGTGTCTTCTTGTCTACTTTCATGAAAACGCCGCGGTTGGCTAAAACCAATTCCCCAGTATCTTCGCCCTTTGATCCTCCAAGCAGGTGAACGAATATTGCCGTTGCTCAATATGTTATACTGTGTGAAAAGGCAAGAATCCACCAATACGCGGAACCTCAATCTTTCTGCAGACTTGGCTGTACCCTTTCGTGCGAAGGTCAGAGAAAATCTCTAATTCTGGTCATCTTGCACAAGCATCCGAGCATCCAAGCTCCTGCGGTGTCCCAGCCTTTGGTGAAAGTGATAACACCAAAACGTCACCAACACTGGGATCTATTTGACATCCACTGCAAGTTCTAACTCCATCCGGTGATCTTCCAGATCTCGTCTACTCCGGACTACTCCAACGCGAGAACTCTCGACTCTGGTACCGATCCCCACTGGGCGTGTCCAGCCAGCGTTGTTGTGCGGCCAGGAGGAGTTCCAGATTCTGGGCCAGTGACCTGGTCGGACCGAAGAACTGAAGAAGACTGGAAGACTCGACTGGTCGTAGCAAAAGGAAGACCGGGAGCTAGCAAAAGGAAGCGATAGCTAGCGATGGGAAGCTAATACCTATAGGAGCTAGCTACGTGTTTTTCAGACTATAAAACTGCTGCACAGAGACAGAAGTTACACATAGTTACACATACAGTAGTTCCCAGAAGTGAAGGTGGTGGGTGGATGGGTTTGGGGAGGTGGATGGAAGGGGAGGTCCTCTTCCAACGGCGGGCTTTGTGGGTGTCAATACCTCGTATCAACATGCTTCACGGTGCTGGACCCTCCCTGGGTTCCTGGATGTTCGAGTTTGTCGAAACTCTGTTTAGGACAGAGGTGACAAGTAAAAAGGATTAAAAAGGTCTCAACAAATTGGAATAAATCTCATCCAGTTTGCATTCACCCATCGTTTCTTTTAAGAAACTTGCATGCATCCAGGTGGTCGTGCTGGTCCAAGGTCGTGCTGCATCGGTATCCCGAAAAGGGGCCTTGGGCCAAAAAGAATCCATCAACTTGATGTCTTCACCCTGTCGACTTGACGTCTTCCAATAATCCTGGCCTGACCATGGAGGAGCAATGCTTGGAGGCGTCGAAGCGAAGCGTGAGCTGCATGCCCTTGGAAGCCTTGGCAACACCTGACAGCGCGGCCAGCGATGTTCTGCGCGGCAGCGGCCGTCCAATGACGTGACATCCAGCCCCGACACCTGCAAGGTCGCCTGGAGATCCTCTCGCGGCTGTGGCCGCGTCCGATGCCCAAATGCCTCTGGTTCGTCTTCATGAAGTCTTTTTGCATCGGACGTCTCCCAAGCAATTCTCCCTAAACCTGCTTGGGCCATCGCCACCGCGATTCCAGAAATGGACAACAGAGAAATACCTCTGTGAGCTGGTTGCCAAAAGTGAAACGTGCACTGTGGGTCTCCACCAAGCCAAGCCACTCTACCTACTAGCTTATTTGACCGTGGCCTGAACCCTGGAGTCCTTTCGACTCCAAGATTCGCAGGTGGCCCCCCTCCCTTTATCGGCATCTGGAAAATGAGCTGCCTTGATGAAACATCTTCGATTGGAACCAAGCCCCAAACCTTGTAGAAGGCCGTGGAAGCAGCCTGGAAGCCCCACAGCAACTACTTCGCCTCTGAAAGCACCCAGAGCGCCTGACTCACCCAGGCCTTGCTGCTCCGGACCTTTCACTCCACACCACTCTCCGCCCAACACGCGACGTGTCGCGATCACCGCCTTCCGGAACGATCACCGCCACCAATGGTAGCTCCGCACCCGTGATGGGCATGGACTCATGCTGGAAGACCTATCGACAGGTCGAAACGCACGCCACTGCGGCACTGGAGACAAACATGTATCTTAAACACACTAAGCCATTGCAAACATCCAAACCAATCAAACCATATATATTATGTATATAGAGAGAGATGTGGAGGTGTTTTTTTGCGTGCCATGCCAAGTCATCCATCACTGGAGTGCTGTGCCGTCCAGTGCCGTCCGCGGCATCCATTAAAAGCTCCATCCTTTCGCCGGCTGCGCCGCGCTCGCCTCCGGCCTCACACTCTGCCTGCGTCGTGTTCTCCTGCGTCAAGCCTCCTTCACTGGGATAATTCTCGAAGACCAGCATGGTTTCAAAGAGCTCCTGGTGTTCGAACGGAAGCTGTGTTCGAACTACGCGTCGGCGTCGACCTTCTGAAATCCAAACAAAGGACCGGAAAGAGGACGAATCCGTCTGCATGACACGACAGGTGTCTTTATTTTTGCATTCTTTTTTGGTATATATATACAGTAAATATAATCTATGAGCCTTGCCGGATGTTGCCGGTGGTTAATCCCAAAACCAGGCCAAGCTGCTAAGCTTCTTCCAGGCTAGACTCGCTAGACATCATAGGATGTTCTTACACATTCCAAAATTGCAACTTTCCGTCATAGAAGAATCTGCACCAAAACAAAAGTAAGTGAACATTCGCCAGAACTGCTAGGACAAAGCTTTATATCATTTAAGTGTTCGCTTGTTCTTAGCCTTCCATACAGGATGACCATGCAACTGTGTAAAACAGGCCCCCAAAACATCTCCAAAAGCCTCGCTTTTCGGCGCGGCTCTCCCGATCGACCTCTCCTGCACGGGTCCGCTGAACCCCGACCAGTCGCGGATTTCAGCCTGGCAGGCGCAGAAAGCGCTGTGCTTCACAGTCTATGCCTGAAGGCATCTTCCACTGCTTCAGGCATCTTCGGCTCACTCTAGGCATCAGGCCATGTTGCAGAACCTGAGCTGGGTGAGCTGGTGGAGTTTGACCAGAAAATCCTTAAGATCCAGGATGGGTGTTGTTTGTTGAGCACCAAAACGGACAATGCTTCTCTTGATGTCCTGAAGGGTTCTGAATGCCTCCCCAATGAGTCAATGAGTCTTTAGAATCTGTTCCTTACAGCAGAGTGGCACGGGTCTTCCTTTTGCAGCTTTTTGAGTTTTTCTCTTGACCTCTGTCATGCTGCTCATGGAGCTCCATCCAAACCCACTCGGTGATTGCCCGAGATGCCTGAAAAAGGATGCATGCTCGGAATCCGACGTCTCCAAAGACCAGGGTGTTGGACGCCCCAGCAGATGTTCCAACGAAGCTCCATGATCCGACCGAGATCCGTTGGATCCTCCCGGAGGGTCGACAGTCCTCCCAGCTATAGTCGACGGCAGTCGATTCCCGTCCGGTGAATCCAAGAAGCTGGTGCTCAGCCAGTTCTCGCAAAGAGTTCTGGATGGACATGGCCAAGTCTGCGAGACTCCGGAAGCTGGAGGAGGTGGAGAGAGAAAAAGCAAAACAAACTATTTTAGACTGAAATAGACTGAAAACTCTTGAAGCACGCAGGAGGTTGCAGGAACATGTTTCTTTCACACCCACCTTTCTAACAAGCATGAGAGCATGAAAGCAGGGTGTAAAGCGCCTATGCAGCTGGTTTCTCGATGAATCTTCACTCGCAGAGGCAGTGTGCAAATCAGCAGCCCAACCATGCCTGTCCAGGTGTCGCGAGCCCACTCGTCTGTTGCCACGGCAGAGTCGACCCGTTTGAATGTACTTCAGGCGAGTCCAAATCCCGATGAGTCTACCTTCCCTCCAACAGACATGGAAGTCGACAATCCTGTGTTTCTAGGGGAATATGGTCGTTCCAGGAATATGTTCCACTTCTATCAAGCTTTTCCTGGATGGAACAGATTCCCTCCGCTCCGCGCTTCCCTCCCGACAGAACCATGCCGAGAAAAACCCGCCTTCGATGCCGCAGACCGGCGCGTCGCGCCCGGAGAGCACCACGCCGAAGACCACGTCGCGCGCGGTCGCAGCGTCGGGACGACCCGCCTCCGCCTGCGCCGCCGGCCGGGGGCCGGTCGGTCGGAGCAAGGCGCGGGACTCGCGATGGGTTCTGATCTTTGGTGGTTCGATTTTCGCTAGGTTGGGTGGGAGATGAAACACATGTTTTGAGCACATGGAAATGGAATGTGCGAAGTGGACATCGTTCGTGCGAGCGGGTTGGTAGTATTTTGTAGTTGTCCTGCTTACATGAGGCGGCACCTGGCCCTAAGACCCTGGGATTTGGGCAATCTCCTGCAAAGAATCATGTGAAACAAACCGGTTTTCACAAATCCAGGTAGGAGCACAACCGGCCGTCAAGCTCAGTACAGTACTTCCATCAAATTCATCAACAAGTGATGTTCGAAGCCGGCTTGCGAACAATGGTTTTTGGTGACCCATACCTATGTGGGAAGGAGTCTGACTCCTTCCCACCGGTGTGACTGGCTTTTTGTGCTTCCTGCCGTCTTCTGTTCTTTAGAAGGTCACAGCCTCAGTCACAGCATGTATGTATTCTATCATATATATCACTATATTACGTCATGGCTCAAACCTACGACGTAGGGTACCATCCACGGCCACTGGTACAAAAAAAGACATTATATAGCTCCTTATCAAGAAACATCATTTTCTGGCTCGTGCTCTTGAGCCACATCCCCACAGCCTCCCCTGCTCTTTTCGAAGGCCAGCCCGCTTTTGGGATGTGCCCGATCCCGGCGACGTCCACCGGGCCCCAGACCAGCGCCATGGCCCAGGCAGCGTGAAAGAGTGCAGCGCTGGTGATGCCCTGGACCGACCGATGGAAGGGTCGCCACGGCGAAAGCCGACCAATTCAGCTGATGGTAACAAAGTGGAAACGAAGAAGGATAGCATCACACGCAGAATGGACAAAGGATGAAAACGGACACCTGGTGTCTGCAGTGTTGAAATGGCAGCAACTCCGTACCACCCTTAGGAGGAAAACACCATAAACATCAATAAACCTTTAATCCGACGGATTCTGATTTGGGCAAAACATCAGTGCCCGTGTTTAGAATCTGGACGAAACTCCTGTATGGACGGCCTTGCAAAACCGTCCTCCCAAACCAGAAGTGGTATGGCTACCACTTCTCTCTTCTTCCTCTTGGAAGACATCACATGGAAAGGCTCCTGTTTCTGGAGTCGTCTCCCAAGGGACCGTGCCTTCCACTTCCATGTGGCATGTTCGTCAGGGTGTACATCCTCTTACCACTGGACCTCCAATTGACCCCACTCCCCCCAACCAGCTACCGACCTGGCCTCGTCCGATGGCTCCAGGGATGGCAGCTCCCATCGCAGCTGCTGATAGTCGCGTGCTGAGTGCGGGATCCGCTGCCACGGGACCTGCGCCTCACCGGAGGTCAGCTCCTGGGGCACCGGCGATGGTGAACAACTCAGGTCGAGAATTCCTATGAATTCTGTGTTGCAGTCCTCAAGGAAATCCTCAAGGGTCGAAGATATGTGCTGCTTGAAGGAAGCAAAGGTGTTCTGCAGACCGTTTTTCTTTCTTAGAAAGGACCACATGCGTCGCATGCTGAGAACTCTCAGTCCTTGGCTAAAGTCGGACCACCTGGGGTCGGAGATTCTGGGGAAGTTGGGAGTGACACAAAGCTTTCTAGACCCAACTGCCAGGTCGAACTACTGGAGGCAGGCATCAAGATTTGAGATGATTTGAGATGATTTGAGATAGGGAATATCATAGATTATCCACTGTATTGGACTCTCTCTCTCTCTCTGTGCTCTTTGCAGTCTTTGATCTGGTGTAGACTTCTACCATAATTAGATTCAATTGCTACGGATGCAGAATCCTCTCTTCCCAGCCTCTCCATCCCTTCAGCTGCTGCTTCCAGAAACTTTTGAGCTGATCTCTGCCTGCCTGACATCAAGCACTCCAGTCACTCGAGCACATCGTGCCAGCGCATATGGCGAAGCCAAGGGAGTGAAGAAATCTTTGGGTCGCGATGGCGCATGGTCAGGAGTCCAATCCAGTAGCCCAATTTGGGCCTGTAGATTCAAGAAAATCATTGTATTGGATATTTATACGTCATGACCATTCATGATCAATGAGACTTGAGGCTGATATGTCCAATCATTCTTCTCTAACCTTCGGCAGCTGGGTGGCAAAAACCCAGGTATTTGAGAGAAAGAAAGTCTTACCTCAAAATCCCAGGTCTCCTCCCATTGCCGATAAGTCAAAACCTTCGCACGAAACCGCAAGGCCGTGGAGAAAAAGCCATTTCCAGATTGAAAACAACAAGAGCTTGGCTGCTGACGAGCATGGCTGTGAAGCTGCCGCGTCCTGAGAAAAAAAGTGGTGCCTGGCGAGTACGAAAGACATGTGTGGCATAGTCTGCCCAGCGCGGAGCTTGGGGAAGGCTTGCTTCAACTCCTGAGGACAACTCGCTGCGAGAGTCGAAAGTTTGAGGGAAGAGTGGAGACTGGCTTCCAACCTAACAGGCCTCCAACCTAGAAGCGATGGCCTCCAACCCAATTGGAGACTGGCTTCCAAGAAAAAGGTCAGGAACACTACTCTGAGTCATTTTCTCATTCACATGGAAGTGGATGGTGCCGCTTGTTAGATTGTTTCAGGGAGTGTATGACTGGGATGGAGAACCCCCCCAGTGGGGTGCAACCGGTGCAACCGACCAGATTCTGATCGGTTTGCAACGGAGTGGGGCCAAGGGCAAGGATTTGCGCCGGCTGTGATTTGGCCAAGAGAAAGATATAGAAAAATCTGGAGGAGGATCTCCTTTAACTCGATCTTCATGGGGCCTTGGGCCACGAAGTCGGAGATTCTGCTTTGCTGTCTGGGGAGCCAATGCTGGTTCCGAGTAGTGGAGTCCACGTGCTTCGCATCCACCAGGCATCCACCTGGCCCACCGATGTCCACCGTCCTGCATAGATCTTCATGGCCTCATCCAATAGCACCGGATTGGACCAACCATCAGAGATGGCGTGATGCTCACTGCGGATGCATAGGTAAAGCCCGTCCTTGGGGCGAAGAAAAGAACTGCTGAAAAAGCAGACAGGGGGGGTGATGAACGCATGATGACACATGTCTGTGGCTCGGTTCATGAGGTTTGCATGTCTTTTTTGACTAGATTCACCAAACGGTTGCTCATTTTGGACCCCCGTTGCCCAACTCCTACGCCGGCACGCCGGCAGCCAAGCCACAGCGATGCTGCAGTTGCCTCTTCGAACCTGCAGCCCATTTGGGGGGTCTCTGCAGTCTGCGGTCGCGAGGTTGGGTCCAATTGGTCCATGAAGATCAAAGATCTGAAATGCTCGAACATGCCCTGCTTATGCCGTACCGGGTAGCTGTGAACGGTTTTAAAAACCCAACAAAAAAGAGAAGCGCTTTTTATGCTTTTAACGTATATAATAAATCCCTCTTGTCGCTGAAATACCACAGTCCTAATTCGGCGCCCGCAGCCCATTCCGGGGCGCCCTATCCTCGTACCCGTCTGCGTTCGGGGTGGGAAACCACCGTGTTCGGCGCGTCGAAACTCCGCCGCACCTCGAAGACCTGAAAGCGGAGCAGCGGCCCTCCGCAGTGAAAGCCGCGCTCGGCATCGTTCGTCAACACGTCACGCACAAGGCCTAACGTGGTTCGGCAACAGAAGCTGCGGTGTTCGAAGCGTGGCATGTCAAAAAATGAAGGAGAAATTATACTGCTGAATTGGCAAATGAGCAGGTTTTCCAAATTGTTGGTCCTATAATTAATTAGAACTTGGTAACATAGATTTCCTTGGCACACCTGTTTTCAGTGGCTACATTAACCAAATGACCCCAAACATATTGATGGCACACACAGATCTTTGCCCCGTCATCACACGTGCAGAAACCAACACACGAGCCAGGACGGTCATATCAACAGCGAGGTGCACAGCAGCCGGAGCACCTGACACAAGAAAACGCGCAGATGAAATGATCTGAAATGTTCCCCTTGATCTCCAGACTGTGGTGACCCTTACTCAAGCTCACCTCCGAAATCACACGATGCGTTTTCATCTGTCTGCCGCTTTTTCAAAAGCCCAGCTCGTTCTGTTTAAGAACATCCCCAGGGCGTTCCGTTTGCCTCAGACTTCGTGAGCAAAGAGAGAAGTCCTTGATGCCTGAGTCGATCAAAAGAACGAAGAAATAGGGGTGTTTATTTTAGTAGGGAGACCCCTAACCAATGGGTTTGGGTCTATTTCCCCTCTTCCTGGGGCTCGAATTGGAAGGTCTCCCCATCAAAATACACATTCATCTGAAGAACATCCTCAAGGCCGAGCAATCACTTCGGTGGTCTCCCCTCACTTCACCATGTTCCACAATGTTCGTGGAATCTCTAGTGGAAGAGGTGGAGGGAATCGTGTGGCCCTAAAAACCGAAGAAATCAAGGTGATGGGACCATGGAGGCGCAATGTTGAAAAAGTATTGATGGCCTATACCGTGGCAATTCTCCTGGTTCATCCTTGTGGGTGAAACGTTCTCGGCCAATGAATATGTTGCAGGCGAAACCTTTCATCAGCAGTGATTTCACCAGGACTGAAACCGACAGGGACCCTTTTTGTTTCAGCAAGGTCTGAGTCTGAGTCTGCTGCTGATCCATGGTGTCTCTTCCTTCTTCTTCTGCAGCTTCATTCAGGTCCCAAACACCCTCCTTTCAAAAGCTGCAAAAGAAGTTGCTGCGTGGACAGCGTCTGAGTCTGGGACACTGGAAATATATTTATATGGTCTTTAGATCAGAAGACGATTGCAAAGTGTCTTTAGAACATCTGGATGCTGCGACACGTGGCGAAAGCTTTAGAGTCTCTCATCAGCATGATAGCAAGCTTCTGAGCATATGTTCATCAAGAAAGACTCCGTGGCGCTAGGTCAGACGATTCATGTTCATCGCATGACTTCTAGGGTCCCTGGTTTCGAAAGGAGCCAAATG